GTTGTTCGGAGTTCTCAGATCAGTTGGCCCCTCTCCAAGATAGCTCCCAGCCAGTCACCCTCTTCTGCAGGATGCCCAGTACTGCTCACTCACCACCAGCTAGGGCAATCCTTTATACCCACTGCTCCCCTCCACTGCTGCATCTCCTGTGGAGGTTTCTACCTCTGTGGTTGCCAGCAGGCATCACCCTATATGCACAGGTGTAGACCACTACACTCTTGAGTCTCAGCTCAGAGAAGGCCCTGCCAGCTAACTCCTTCTTTCTTGAAGTTTCTCTCTTCCCTCCCTGTGGCCTTCAATTCTCACTTCATATACTTCATGGGCCCATGGGACTCACCCCTCTCCTCTTCCTTGACTTGCTAAAGTGGTAGTTGGACAGCAGCTCTCAGAAAGGCTTTCTCTGCACCATCTTCACCTCTTACTCCCTGGGGTTAAAAATTGGTCTTCCCTCTTTGGGTGTTTTACCCATGTGACTATTACTAGTTTGTTTGGTTGTTTTTTTCCCGGAACGGGGGATTGAACTCAAGCCCTTGTACTTGCCAGGGAAGTACTTATTCCACTGAGCCATCTCCCTGGCCCTATTACTAGTTCTTAAACTCTTCAAAAATTGTTGATACTCTGGCCAGGGAGATGGCTCAGTGGAATAAGCATTTCCCTGGCAAGCGCAAGGGCCCGAGTTCAATCCCCAGTTTTGGAAAAAAAAAAAAAAATTGTGATACTCTATCAAAACAATTTTCTTTAGATATCTTTTCTTATTCTCTTCTTTCTTCTTTTATTTCTATGGCAACTCCCATTCCTTCCTTCCACATACCAGGTAAGTGGGGATTAGTATGTGATTTTATTTTCTTGCAAAAAGTTGAATTTGTTGACCTTTAATTCATGTATCTACCTTTATCCCTTTTACATATACATATGCATTGTATCTTTCATTTGGTATTTTATCAAATCAAAGTTAAATATATTACTCTTTAGACTGTAGCTATTACTTTATTGTGTACATTACTACATTTTTATGTAATGTCTCCCAGTGAGAAATATCCAGGTTATCTCTAAGTCCATGACATCAAAAGCAATTCCCAATAACATATCTGTATGAAAATGCCTTCGGGATATTAAATTAGGCAATGAGATTACAAGGGCAGAGAGTACATAAGACACACACATAACTGTATTGGTCTATATTACTATGAGCAGTCCATGACGGTCCCTACATGGTCACATACCTATATGTGGCATCACGCAACTTTCTAACTTCTATAATCCTGAAAGACAGAGCTGGGAGCAGCGCTGCATGCCTGTAATCACAACAGTCAGGAGGTTGAGGGAGGAGGATCACATCTAGTTCAAGTTCAGCCTCAGCTACCTATGGAGGCCATGTCTCAACAACTGCTACCTGCAAAGTCATTAAGTTTTTACTTAATTACCAAGGAGTTTGACGATATTTGTCTCCTGAATTTTCTTTCATATTGATTTCCCAATGGCATTGTTTTGCCTTTTTTTCACCGCTACCCAGGTTGGCCTTGAACTCACAAACGTCTTCCCTCAGCCAAACTGGGATTTTTTTTTTTTTTTTTTTTTTTGGGTGGAGGTGGGGATTGAACTCAGGTCCTTGCACTTGCCGGGAAAGTGCTTATTCTACTGAGCCATCTCCCTGGCTCCCCCCAACTGGGATTGTAGGCACGTATCCCTATGTTTGGCTTTCTCACAGATATTCTGTTATCCTGGTATTCCTGAGGTGAAGTGTACATCATAATGTGCTTAATGACAAGGTTGTATTACCTATTATTTCTAATTGTGAATAACCATTTGTAAACAAAATGTTTTTTTCAAATTTATCTGGTTTTAAAAATATTACCATTACCCTAAAATTCCATTTTGCCAGTTAAGATTGTTACCCTGTTTTTCACCCTAATTTTTTATCACAACAGCTTGGAGTTATAACCACAAACCATAAAATTTACCCATTTAAAGTGTGGTTTGGGGGAACATTGATCAAGGAGCACTACATTGTGCTTTGAAAGGAATAAGTAGTTCTGGAGTGCTACTGCACAACAGTGTGACCACAGATCATAATATACCTTAGAAGGACTTTGAATTCACCATAATGAATTGATGTTTGAGAAGACAGATATGTTCATCAATGTTACATAATGTATACATGTATGGAAACACTGCATGGCAACCTACAGATGTGTATTTTTTTTTTAATGTTTTATTTTTATTTATTTTGCGTGTGTGTGGCCAGTTCAGCCCACCAGAGGGCAGGGCTGGCTGGCATGTGGTGCTGGAGGATTGAACCGCGGTCCCTGTGCTTTGCTAAGCTTGTTCTAAGTAGGTGCTTTAGATCACTGAGCCATCTCACCAGTCCCAGATGTGTATTTTTTAAATTAAAATCTTTTATGTACTTATTTGGTACAGGGTCTCACTACACAGCTCCAACTCCATATTGATCCTCCTACCTCAGCCTGGGATTTTACAGGCATGTGCCACCACAACCGGTTTCAGTGGCTGGCATGGGGCATGCCCAGGGTTCCAAGGCAGGAATGGCATGCAGTACTGGGGATCGAACCTAGATCCTTGCACTTGAGGGAAGAACTTAGACCACTGAGCTATCTCCCCAGCCACAAATGTATAATTTTTATATTTTTATGTATCAGTTAAAAGAAAACATTGAAAAATGTGTAATTCACATTCTAATATATTCAGAGCTGTCTGAAAATCACCACAGAACATTTTCCATACCTCCAAGAGATCTCACACCCTTCAACTGTCACTCTCGTAGTGATATGAGTCAGAAGCTTCCTGTCCTTAAAGAGCAAGGAACAAAGCACAGAGCCTAAGGAAACTGGCCCCTTGTAATCCCACTCCCCCACAAGCTGGAGACAAGGTAACAGATTCCTAGAGGTGCCGCCCTATCTTCTATTCTCTGTTCCTTTACCTGAGAAGTTACCCACTAGTGCTATGTAAACTTAGTTTGGTGAAAGGAAGGCAATATAAATAACAGCTTGTTTACACCAAATTAGTTATGCACCTTTAGCCTGTTTGTAGTCCTCAGTAAATGTGAGAGGTTGAGACTAAGGTCTGTGAGGCCTCTGAGGCTGTATTAATCCAATCCTCCCATTCCTTTCCACTCCTGACTGATAATGTACAACACACACACTAACCCTCCACCTTCTATACCTGCTCTCAGCTCTGGGCAACCACCAATGTTTTTCTCCACAGACTATAGTATTCCTAGCATTGCTATAAATGGAATCATACAGTATGTGGTCTTTTGCAACTGTACTTAGCATGGCTTAAAAGATTCACCTAAATCATTGCAGATACAAATATTTCTTTCTGTGCCTAATAGCTCATTGACTTGCCTGGCAAGCAAAGGGTCCCGAGTTCAATCCTCAGTACTTCAAAATATAGCTCATTGAATGGAACTATCACATTTTGTTTTCCATCCACCTTCTGATGCATAGTTAGATGGCTTCCATTTTTGGGCTATCATGAACAGCACTTCCTATGCCCCTCAATATCTTTTGACTTTTTCCAACTATTCATGTGACACAAAAGAGGGTGCAGCTTGGTGCTATAGTGCATTCAACTCCTAGCACCACCAAAGAAAAGACTACATATCTTAAATATATTCAAGTGACTTACCTATTGTAGTCTCGGGTGAGTTAAACTGGTTCACTGCCTAAATGTAAGTTGCATTCACTTATAGAAAATAAAATTTTGGGGGGACAGCCAGACAGCTCAGCAGATTAAAGCACCTGCTTAGGTTGAGCGCAGGGACCAGGATTCGAGCCCCAGTACCACAAGCTGTGCAGGGCCCACTCAGGGCGCACTGAGAGGGCAATTGAGACTGGGCGTGGTGGCGCGAGCCTGTGATCCCAGTGCTTGGGAGGCTGAAAACAGGAGGATCACTATGAGTCTAATCTACATAGTGAGACTCTGTTGACACTGTGCTAGATACATAAATTTTTTTTTTTTCTACTGGCTCAGATCCAAAGACACTTTTATTAACATCTAAAGACAAGTGTTAAAGATTCCAAAGCAACATTTGTGCTTTTTCTTTCATTATCTCTTACATCCATAAAAGGATATTTTTACTTTTAAGTATATGAAAAGGTTCAGAGATTAATTTTATTAAGATGTTTAACAGAAATATTTGTAAAGATTTTTTAAAATGACAAAATTAGCAGTTAACAAAATTTCAATTATGTAAGAAAAATTTACTACAAAACGTTGAAGGAGTATTTTGAAATAAAAAGTCCTTTTATATTTTAAGTGTCAAAATATAGCAACATAATTTCCTCTTCACCAGCAAGACACTTGTTTACCATTTAACCAACAGTAAATAATACTAAACCATGGATATATTTACTAAATATTATTTCTCTCATTTTATAAATGCCCATACTTTATTTCTAGGAAAATTTAATTTTATCTAGACTCACTATAATGTTTACATTTAAATACTCAAAAAATAATATGTTAGGGGTATTGAGTAGGCATAAGCTCTAATAAAGGTAACAGTCTTCGCCTGCAAGCAGGCGCAGGGGCCGGGGGGTTCAATGCCCAGGCCTGCTATGCCGCCCCAGCCCCAGGATACACTGAGATGACAACTGAGACTGGGCATGGTGGCACACACCTGTAATCCCAGCCCTTGAGAGGCTGTAAACAGGCGGATCACTACAAGTCCGATCTAATAGTAAAACTCTTAAACACCCTGTAGACCCTTTAAAAAAAAAAATTAAGGGGCCGGGGAGATGGCTCAGTAGGATAAGCACTTGACTGGCAAATGCAAGGATCTGAGTTCAATCCCCGGTTCAGCCAAAAAAAAATAAATAAATAAAAAAATAAAAAAATTAAGTTTTATTTGAGCCTATACAAAATAAAGAAAATTTAAGAGCGTAAAAGAAAACCCAAATTTTACTCTATTTCTCAAGAGTCCTAATCAAAGCCACTTCTTTAAATCAATTTTCTAACTGAACACATGGGCTTAAAAAATGAGAATGTTGTTTCACTTTCAAGTCACTGGTTTTTATACTCAACTGAAGGTTTTAAAATTATTTTAGAAGCTGGGAGGCTGAGGAAAGAGAATCACTGAGTTCAAGGCCAGCATGGGCTACACAGTGAGTTCAAGGTCTGTAAGAGTCTCAAATAAACAAACGAAACTAGACTACTTCATACAGACCTGAACTGAACAACTTTCAAATTTTGTGTAGTATAATGTTAGCTAATCTGCTTGTTTTTTTGTTAAGTTATTTTAACCTATAAGTTTTAAACATGTCTACCAGAGGGAATTCACCAGAAAACACGATTATAAAACCTCTGAAGTAAAACATCAATACTATAAAATATCACTGTTTTTTCCTTCTTTTGTAAGAGTTGTTACTATCGATGAGTACTTTCTGGTGCTCGGAGAATGTTCTTTTCATGCTGTCTTTCAAGGTGCTCTCTAGACCTCCCGATTTCCAAAGTACCAAGCGTGCGTCTTCTCCGCCTGTCAGCAAAGCGCTATCTCGCCCGTCCCAACACAAAGAACGGACTGTGGCAGCGTGCCCTCTCCCAAGGCTGGTCACGGGGGTCAGTCCTGACCGGGTGCAGGTCATTAAGTGAATCCTTCCTGTGTGTGTTCCTCCAATGACAAACAATTTGTCTATCTTTTCATGATATAGACCTCCAATCAAATAGTCCAAATTATCTTCTTTCATACTAACTATTTCTCTGACATCCTGGATGTTCAAACATGTAATTGGTTCCTCAGTATCTAAATGATTAAGATCCCACCAACAGAATCCTTCATCATGTGTCATGCAATAAATCTGCTTATACTCTCTCCCAAACCAACCAATGCAGCTCACTGAGGAAGTGGAGTTACATGTTGTAACCAGTGAGTGCTCTTCATCGTCAGCACTAATATCAAATACGTTTACCAAGCCATCAGTGGAGCCTGTGACGAGCATGTTGGGATTGCGGGGGTGGAAACATACTTGTGTGATGTCATCACTATGCGCCTCACTGTATGTACCAAGAGGGTCTCTAGTAGTGGACAAAGCCTCGGAATTAACTCTTGCATCCCAAAATACCAACAATGCGTCATCGTCAACTTTTTCTGTACCAGCACAAATGACATGATCATTACAGTTGATATCAAAACTAATAAAAACATTGGAAGGATAACCCTTGAACAGCTGAACAGGCTTCTTTCCAGCTAAGCGAGCATCCCAACATTTTACAGTGCCATCAGTACTTGCTGAATACACACTGTCACAGCAATTTGCAAATCTGATTCCATGAAGAAGTCCAGGGTGCCCACTAAATTCTTGTAGCACATTTAATGTTTCTTTATCATATATTCTTATGGATCCATTAGAACATAAAACAGCAACCAAGCTTCCTTTTTCGGCTTGTACAGTCTTTGATGAGTCTATGCCAAGTACATAAGTGGGTTCTTTAGATTCTGAGGAACATTTAATATGCAGATTAACAAAGCATTCCTCAATCTTCTCCATATCAACAGTAGCATCCAGAGGTAGTAAAATTCTGTAATAAAAGTATAAAATTAAAATTGAAGATTCCTTAAAGTTCCAATTAATGTTTTTAAAAATCTGGCATAAAAAAAGTACAATACCTTCTAATTCAATTGTTCAATACTGAATTTACCAATTATACCTTATACTAGTAAGAGAACTAGTGAGCATGTACATATACCACTTGGTAGTTCCTTTAGCTCAAACCCAACTGGCTCACAGTCAGCACTGGCTAGCATTTGGAATCATCTTCTTGCAACATGGTAATCTAGTCTCCCAAAGATGTTCATGCCCAAAGCCAGGTATGTGATGCACACCCATATTTACAGCACTCAGGAAGCTGAGGTAGGAGGATCGATATGAGGTCAGACTAGGCTAAGTGAGTTCAAGGTCAGCCTGCACTACATAGCATCCTATTTCAAGAAAAAATGTTCATGCTTTAATTCCTGGAACCTGAAAAAGATCCTATGACAAAGTAGAAATGAAGTTGCAGATCAAATTAAGGCTCCTAATCAGTCTAATCAAAGCTGACCTTTAAAAAGGGAGATTACCCTAGATTTTCTAGGGAGGCTCAGTATGACCACAACTGCCTTTAAAAGTACAAGGGTGGGGAGCAGGGGAAGATAGCTCAGTAGATAAGTGCTTCCCTGGAAAGCACAAGGGCCTGAGTTCATCTCCAGTTATGCCAAAAACTAAAAAAAGGAAAAATAAATAAATAAAAGTATAAGAGGGAGGGACCAGGGAAATAGCTCAGTATGTAAGCACCTGCCTGGCAAGCGCAAGGTCCCAAGAGTTCGATCCCTGGTACCAAAAAAAAGAAAAAAAAAAAGAAAAAAGAAAGTATAAGAGGGAGGCAAAAGACAGTAAAAGGGGGATGCTACTATAGTGCGTTGGATTTTTCTTTTTTAAAAACATTTATTTATTTGGCACAGGGTTTCACTACATAGCTCAGACTCAGTCTCCTAGTGATCCTCCTGTCTCAGCCTCAGGAATGGGAATACAGGTGTGTGTCATCACACCTAGTTCTGGGGCTGCTTAGGCATGTGGTACTGGGGATTAAACCCAGGTTCTTACACTCACCAGGCAGGAACTTAGACCGCTGAGCTATCTCCCCAGCCCCAACATTGATGGATTTAAGACAGAGGTCATAAACCAAGAAATGCAGGCAGCGTCTAGAATCTGGAAAATGCAAGAAAACATTCTCCTCCTGAGCTTGCAAACAGAAATGCAGCCCTGCAGACATCTTAACTAGTTCAGACATCTGGCCTTCAGGATTATAGGATAATCCACTCGCATTGATTCAGGCTGCCAAGCCCCAGTACTGGAGACAAGCTGCTCGGTGGTAGCAGCTTACAAGTGATGGAAGTGGGATTCAGGAAGTTTGCTCTTAACCACCGCACTAGACTGGCACTGTGTGGTAGATGGTGTGCAGAACAAGTGCAAGGGCAAAAAGCACACAAGCTGCGTGACTTAAGCACGGGCTTCGCTGTGGTGCTGTTGACCAATGAACATTCTAGTGTGCCTCATTCCTTTTTAAAGCTCTAGGAACGGAACCCAGGGCCTTTGCAACGTTGCTACAGCTTAATCTGTAAAATTTTTTTTTCTGAGACAAGGTCTCACTAAGTTACTGGGGTGGAGTCAACACTTGCAATCCATCCAGCATTAGGGTCCCAAAGCAGGGGTGTTACAGGTGTGTACCAGTGTCCAGCTCACCTTTGTACTTTTTTTGCATTTAGTGCAGAGTCTACAGTCTTATTACACAGAACGGACTTGTAGTGATTCTCCTGTTTTCAGCTTTCCAAGCGCTGAGATTACAGATACGCGCCATCATACCCAGTCTCAATTTCAGCGCACCCTGGGGGTGGGTCCGGCACAGCAGGCCGGGGATTGAACCTCTGAACCCTGCTTCTGCCTCACCTTTGCATTCTTAAATTTCTTTTTTCTGTTGCCTTAGCAATATCTTGCTAAGCATCTGTCTTTTCACTCTTGTTTTTTGGCACATAAATATACCCAACTTTGTATTTCAAAGGTATCTCAATACAGCTGTTCAATATAAATACAGAATAGCTTCTCACTAAAAACAGGGGTAACTTTCTTTAACCCTAATACATCCATTTGTTAATGATATATAAAATAAGCGATATATATA